AAAAAAAAAAAAAAAAAAAAAAAAAAGAGAAAATAACTGATCTCTCGAATTTACAAAACTTTTAATGGCCAAGCTGGAATCTGTGTGACTGCAAAGCTATACTTTATAAAAAACAATTTTTCAATTTTATTTATATTTATTTGTTGTGGGGCACAGTGTGTTGTTTCAACACATGCATGTACTGCACAATGATCCACTTAGGGTAGACAGCATAGTTTTGTACCCATTAGTCTACCATTTCTACCCTGAGCCCCTTCCCTCCCAGCCTCTTGTAACCATGACTCTACTCTCCACAAAGATGTACTTTTAATCCTACATCTCACTGCATCCACTCTCGTGCCCTACAGCCCACACAGTTTGCAGGGTGTATCCTTAAATCTAAAGCCTGCAAACAAGGCAGCCAGGTAGGTTGTGATGACTTTCTGCACGTTCTCCAGGACAGGACTTAGTAGTCCTTGCGAAATCACGTCTGACATATAACTCTGTTGAGGAACCTCCCAGATCCTGACTGGCAGAAAGACACAGGAGTGGAGAAGGGCGCTTATTAGGCAAAACAAACAATTAAATACTCTAGCAAGGTGCCTAGCACTGTGCAAACCATGAAGACAGGATAACACTTAGGCTACATATCTATTTAAATCAAAGAATATGTAACCCAGTCAGGAATATTCTAGGACTTATTTATTTACCTGTCTTGGGAATCTGATCATTTTAGAACCTCTGAACTGGTCCAGAGGTTCATATTTAAAATTTGACACTCTTGTTCAAGGATCACATGTGTGGGGAGATCTGTGGAGAAACTGGATGGTCAGATCAAAATGCTTCTTCCTTCTCCCACAGGAAAGGCAGAGAGCGAGAGAGAGGCTGTCCTGCCTGCAGGCACAGGTTCTGAGTTAGAAGTCTGGCCTCTGAGTGCAAATGCAATGAAAAATTTCCTAATATTTTCCACAGGGACTTGAACAAGATCCTAAGAGCTGCAACAGCTGCAACCCATGGAGAACATGGTTCCTTTCTAAGACCAAGAGAGCCACGGACTCAGCAGCAGAGATTGGGGCTCATGAAAGGAGACAAGAGAGGTTCCTTCAGTTCATTATTTAGGCTCCTTGCAGGGCCCCAGCACTCACCTCAGCCTGCCAGATGGGGTTCACGGTGTTGCCTATGATCCTGGATCTCCTTTCCTGTCCATGGTGGGGGAGGGCGGGGAAGATGCTGTGCTTGCCAGGTTGGATGGAAATCTTTAGATAAGGGTCTGGGTTGAAAAACATCCCTTTCTTCAACCCCAAGGCCTGGAAATCTATAAAATAAAGGATATTTTAATGTAACTGTGTTTTAGTGAGATGAAAGATCACATTAGGCCTTACATAAGGAGAAAAGTCCATCTAACACATGAAAAATACTTCCCATGTTTAGGCTGTTTTCCACCTCATTATAAATATGGACTAATGTGTCTATAGAGCTCACTATTATTTTGGTGAAAAACCCTTGTAATCAGTCAGTCCAGCTGGCATTGTGATCACGCACTTTTGGTAGGAGCATGGCCCTTGCTGGACGGTTGCCGGCATTCCCTGGGCAGGACAGGATGAGGGGTAGGGTGTGGGGCTGAGGGTCACATCAGGGAAGGTGCTGGGGCACAGAGGGGGGAAACCCAGCTTTGGAAATTCAATGGGTCTAGGTGTAAAATTCCTCTATGAGGTAGAGACATAAAAACAGTTCTGTAGTTTCACAGTAAATGTGGACTTCACTGGGTAAGGAGAGAATTAGGAGACATAAAGAGAGATGAGAGGATTAAAAGAGCAAAGAGCGTAAACAGTGGAGTAAAGAAAAAGGAAACCCGCATGGTGCTCAGTGCACGTCAGCGTGGAGAGCCTGGTCTGTGCACCGCCAGCGAGGCCAAGGCCTGGGCACCACCCCGGCCCTTCGCTGAGATGCCCAGTCACATGATTTCATGCTGCACAGAAGGGGACAGGGGACAGGGGTAGAACATGAGATTGCTGGTGACATGGTACATAGTTGTTCTGGGATAATGTGAAATTACTTTATATTTCTTGGAATTGTATTTATGGTGTCAAGGAATATCATTTTTAAAACTTTTCTATCATTGAAGTATTTCCCAAACAAAATTATTCACATTTATTTACAAATGAAACAAACTGAGTTAAATGTTACACCGAATCAGCAATTCTCAATCATTGTATAATATGTTACCGATGAAAAGTACAGACATTTCCATGTGCATTTACTTAAGAGCTATTCCGAGTTGATTCAAGGTTATCCCCATGATGAAATTATTCTTACTCTCTACCATTATAATTTACTGCCATGGGAGGAAAAACAGGTACAAAACAAGGGCATCACATGAGTTTGCAAAACCCAGGCAATACCCACAGGCGTGTGTGCTCACAAAAGTTGACAACTCCCCTTAGAGAGGCCTGTTCATGAGGCTGGCTCTTGGCTGGTGTCTGGGAACTGGGATTTCAGGGGGGTTCCCACCTTCCCAGAGCTGATCAGGATGGTTTGGGGTGAACACTGCTTTCCTTCTGGGAGTCTGGAATTTTGGCACGTGCTAAGCAGAAGGTGCCCACATGACTAGCACCCACTCCCAAAACCCTGGGCACCAAGTCCCTAGTGAGCTGCCCTGGTGAACAACGTTTCACAGGTGGTGTCTGTCGCATTCGTGCTGGGACTAAGCACGCCCTGAGTAAACCCTGGTGGAGAACTCTGGAAGCTCCCTCCTGGGTCTGCAGACTCCACCCTGTGCACCCCCTCACTTTGCTGGTTTTGCTTGGCAGTCTGTCACTGTGACAACCCTGAGCGGTGAGCACAAGATCACATGCTGAGTCCTCCTAGTATCATTGAACCTGGGTGGTCTTGGGAACCCCAGCCTGGAATGTGAAAGACGTTTATACATCATTCATCACAAAGTAATGACTAGCATCACCTCTGCCTCCACCTACCCTTTATTGCTGGTTACCAATTATTGGGAACCATTCTAAGCACTTAAAATACATTACATGATTTGATCTCAACCACAGACTTCACAAGGTAGGCATTATGTCCCTGATTCCAGGAAGAGAAATTGAAGGCTTGGAGGTTTTCAGAGCTGGTCAATGTCAGAGATGAGATTTGAACTTGTCATTGATTCCAAAGTCTGTGCTTTTAACCAATTATGTTATATTACCTTTTTATAAAGTGCCAATTTTAACATAGGTAAAATTCTTAAGTATAAGTGAATCTTTCTATACTCTCTGTTCTGTTCTATCAAACGACTTGCCTATATCTGCATCAATATGTCTTTATCAAATGTTTGATACCTGGTAAATCAAGTCACTCTCCATTGTTCCAGCTTTTTAAAAAAGAAAACATCTTGTTTTGACACACATTTATTCTCCCAGATAAATCTTATTAATTTAACAGCATCCTTCAAAAAACTGGGATTTTGATTGGAATTGTATTAAATTTATAGATTGGTTTTGGGAGAATAGGTAGCTTACGACATTTTTTTAAATTGAGATTTGCCTAGGTGTGGGTCTCTTTACATACATTTTTTTCTTAGCACCTGATAGTCTTTAATTTGAAGACTCAAAATTATCTTCAGCTCAGGAAAGTCTCGCTCTATTGTTGTTTCTGTTCAATTTTTCTGATTTCTTCATCAAAACACTGATTATGTGTTGGCTCTGTGTGTGTGGTCGTCTCTTTGTATTTTGCCTTCATCTCCAATCATCCTGCCACGCCACTGATTCCAGTTCTGTACTGGGCCTGTGCTCCACGCTGCTTTCCAAAGCCACTTTTAATTCTGTGATTCCTCGACTGTGGTAGACAGAATAATAATGCCCAAACTCTGGTACCTGTGAATATGTTGCCTTACATGGTAAAAGGGACTTTCAGATGTGATCAAGAACTTCGAGATGGGAAGATTAACCTGGACAATCTAGATGGGCCCAGTGTAATCACAAGGGTCCTTATAGGATGGAGTCAGGATGGGCATCATGAAGAGAGGGGCGTGATGACAGAGCAGAGACAGGAGGGATGCAGCCACTGGCCAGAGAGTGTGGCATCTCTGGAGGCTGAAAGAGGCAGAGAGGGTCAGCACTCGAGCCCCCAGAAGGGACCAGCCCTGCTGACACCTTGATCTTAGTCCCTTACAATTCATTCCAGACTTCTGATCTCCAGAGTGGTAAGAACGCATTGTGTTGGTTTAAGCCACTAAGTTTATGGTAATTTGTTATAGCAGCAACAGGAAACAATACACTTGACTTTCTAAGTTTTTATTTTTGCCAACTTCAGAGAAATCCCTTAACCTCTTTTCTCATCTTAGATCTCTTATGCAATACTCTCCTGTATTCTCCTGAGGGTACAAGTGGATGAGTGGTAAATACTTCGCTTCTCTTTAGTAGTCATCTGTCAACAGAATGTTTTCTTTTTCTCTTGAATGTTATATTCTTCAGCTTTTTAATAGGGTAGGATCTTTTCCCCACACATTCTTTAAGTGAAAATTGGTTATTAACCCACGAGCAGACTTTGTGCTCTTGGTGTTTGTGGTCATGAGCTAGTTCAGTCATCTGGCGACTTGCTGCTGGAATCCTTGACCTGCTTTTACACTGAGAGCTGACCAGCGTCTAGCCAACTTGTTGATACTTTGTGGACTTTGCTTAGTAATGGATTTGCTGATTCTATCTTGTCTTTCTGTGAAGAATGGAATTTATTTTGATACTTTCAGGGATTTTTACTTCTTTTCCTAGACACATAGGGAATGCAACACACATATACATGTAGCTACCAAGTATTATACTTCCCTGACCGTTCCAGGCTTGCTCTTTTAGCTGCAAGCTTTATATTTATTCCCAGTCACATTCCATTGCTAGGACTTGTGACATCGGAATAAGTGTGAGAAAAATGATATACTGGGGGACTGCAGGAGATCAACCAACCCATATCTCCTTATGAAGGAGCTTCGTGAAACAAGCTCGGCTGGGGGAGTCTCCTTCCCTCCTGGGCTGTGAGCCCCTGTCTGCATGGCACAGGCAGAACGTGGACCAGGGAACAGTGGTGCTGTTCAGCCCTGCCCTGCCTCCGCGGCGTCCTTCTTGGGCTTCAGGACTTCAATGGAGCTTTGGTTAGTGAAAATTCTTCTTGGTTTCTGGTACATAGTTGTACAGTATTTTTGGTTTATACTGTTTTTGAATGTTAGGACTAATTGTGATTTCTCAAACATTTCAACAAGAACATGAGATTAGCAAATCAGGAGTTGCTAGCTTTCGCCCTAGTAATACAAAATGATTGAGTATTTTTTTCTTTGCTTTTCTTTTTCCAATCTAGACAGACACATGCTAATACTGTCAGTGAATCTTCCCACACATTGGCTGTCCCAAGCTCACTGAGACTTGAGGAGCCCCGTTGGCAGTCTGTGCACTTCACTTCTGCACCCTCCGATCTCTGGCACGTGTGGCCTGCAGCGTTTGCTGGACTGACAAGCTCGGGTGGTAAGTAGAACCCACACTATGCTCAGCGGAGTCCTCAGGCTTCACGCTGCTGTGTCATCTCAGAGGCTGGTAGTGTAGACTTGAGTGAGTGCAATCCTGAGCTTTGTATATTCTTTTAGCCAGAGCAGCTCAATTTTTCTTTTAAACTTTTAATTTTGAAAGTTTTAGATTTACAGAAGACTTCCAAAGATAGTACAAAGATTTCTCACATACCCTTCACCCAGTTTGCCACATTATTAATAATAGATCTGCAACATAACCACTGCCATTTTAGACAAGCCCAAGTACAAAATGGCACCATCCACCTCCTCCCCTCCCCTTCCCTCCCCTGTTCTCTTTTACAAGGAGCCTCATGGTTTCGGAGAAAACGAAACTCTTGGCATTCCCTCATGCGCAGAACTCTCCACCCCATGACCTAACTCAATCCCCACCCCGGGATTACATCACCCAGCTCTTGGTGCCAACAAACCAATATAAGCCCCCACCTCCCTATGTGCTGTCCCCCACTTTGAGCACAGCCCGGCAGATTTCTTTCTTTAATAAAGCTTGACTAGTACCCGGCATTTCGGCTCACTTTCTTTCAGTTAACATATTACAGAACTATGGTACATTCCTGAAAACTAAAAAATGAAATTCATCTTAACTATTAAGCTAAAATACTATTAACTAAATCAACAGACTTTATTTGAATTCCACTGATTTTTTCCATAGATGCAGTTTTCTGAGCAGCTGAGATTTTCTCAGTTTGACTAATTGGATTATGGGGTCCAGGTGAGTTTTATTTAGACACAGAGGTGGACAGCCACTTCTCTCTCCCGGCTCTCCCAGCCTTCCCTTCATAGACTCTCAGTGACTGCCACTTGGCCCTGGACGACAAGTAGAAGTGTAGCCTGTCCCCATCGCCTCACAGTGCTTCTCATCCATTACCTACCGAATTCTCCATGATCCCTGTGAGGTCAAGGGGAACTGAGCAGATATCTTTTAAGGTTTGCTTTACACATGGAGAAATCGAGGCAGGAAGAGGTTGAGTATGTTGTAGGTAAGAGTTAAATTGAGGCGGGTCTCCTGACTCTTGGTTGACATTTTTATTCTCTCCACAAGGCTCTGGGTGAGCAGAACGTACCTGAGAGAGAAAAGCTGATCAGCCTCCGATTTCCTTGCCCTTGGGTGGTCTCGTCAGAGCCAATGCTTTTAAAAATCTGTAAGAAGGAAAATGGGAAACAAGCAAAAAGCATTGAAATGGGTACTCACACCCCAACACAAACAGCTATTTCTCTAGCTACCCCCAAAGAAGAAAGGAGTGTTTTGATTTCTTTGGGCAACTATTGATTAAAAGAAGCTTCTAACAACCTAATGTCTTTACTAGTAAAAGCGGATCTGCAGAGAACTGGAAATCAACAAACACAATTACAAAACATCACAGGCCCTTTGTAACTACTTACGCAAACACGCTTTTTCGCAATCAAATTTGCAAAAAGTATTTATTAAAGCAGGCCTAAGGCAGTAGAATGATAGGTCAACAGATGTTTACTGTTGTAATTATAATGTGTTTCCATTTAGCAAGTAGAGTATAGTGTTAAACTGCTGTATTGTCACTATTATTATTATTTAGTGATTTATAGGAAACTGTTTATTAGGGAAGAGCCTAAGCATTAAGAAGCTACTTCGAGGTCTCTCCTTTTTAATTAATTGCTTTTCTGGGAAATTTCAGAACACAATTGTTACGTGGGTTATATGCAGTGCAGTAGGTATTTATAAACCTAATTCCATAAATGCTTTTTCCCATCATTGCTCAATATATGTTAATGGTTTAATCAAATCAGCTAGAGGCCTTGCCTCCTTCTTCTTCCAGGAGGGTTTTATACAGAAATGATTTTGAGTCTTTATTCAAGGGCAGAATACTCTTCTCAGTTACTTTGCATGCATTGTATGTTTGCAGAAAATAATTGTATAAATCTGAGTATTAAGTAAACCCACACACTGTCCACCTTTTAGAAGATAATCTATAGTGAAGAAAGGAAAAATGGAAAACTTGATAATCTCTTGTTTAAAATTTCTTTGTCTGTGGATGGTGTGGGCTGATTTTCCTCCTTTCTTCTCTCAGTATTCTTGATGCTGTCACAGTTGGGACCGATGTTCCTGTCACCCTCCTTTATGTGAGACAAGAGTGTTGAATGGACACCACACAGCTTCAGCCTGAGGGGCCTTGCTGTGTCCACCCTGAGGCCCAAGTGAGAGGGTGGCAGGGATGCTAGGCGGCTCAGCAGAGGGGACCAGGCAGCAACATATGCAATGGGGCTTGGTGTCCACCTCTTCCACAGGTCTCTGTCTCTCGAGTCCCATCTGATAATAAAGAACTAGAGCAAGATGCAGCAGGGACCGAGGCTCCTTTAGTGGTCATCTTGTTCTTCCCACGGGTTAGCTGACACAGAGAAATGGACATTGATGAGCAGTTCAGAGACTACATCCTCAGGTTGTGGAGACGTGGGCAGGCTGGACTTACAGGGCAGCCCCTGGGGTCCTGTGATGTGGCCTGAGGGCCTCAGCCTTCCCCCCCAACACCACAACCAGGCCAGCAACGGAGCCAACCATGGGCCAGCCTCCTTTGTTCGCCACCCCCACATCTTAGAATGAACTTTTTTTTTTTTTTTTTTGTCTTTTTCGTGACCGGTAAGGGAATCGCACTCCCGAGTGCACCACGAAAATCTTTTAAAATTTATAAATGAATAATATAATCTACTTATATTAATATTATTATATTGTTATTATATTATGTTATTATTTTGTACTTATAATAAAATAAATTAATAAATAAATTTTGATAGGTCTTAAAAAAAAAAAAGAAGCCGCATTACAGTATAAATAATAAAATGTCCAAGCTGGGGCATTTCAGCAGCCAAAAGCAGGGAGTTATGAGTACCACTTTAGATCACAGATCAGTGATTCCCCTAAATACCAGTATCTTTTGACTCCAAGATAAAGCCTATTAAATAATCTGATAATCCTTGAAACCACCTTAAAAAAAAAAAAATCAAGCCAATCCTGGGAAACCAATCCAGGGCCCAGGTTCCATTTCCACCTCCAAATTTCTGATATGTTCAAAGCAGCAAATAGTAAACAGACAAATACGCTTTACAAATGTTTACACTTTTGAGTACATTTCCCTTATTAGAAATTATGACTGTTAGGTGGTAAGGCAGCTCATTCCAAATTCTCTAACAGACGCTTGCAAACTGAAAGAGCAAAGCCATCTTTAGAGGCTTAAAAAAAAATGAAACATAAAGTTCCAAGTCAACTGCATCCCAAGGCAGCCTCAGCCACAGCGATGCCTGAGATAGGAGAATTAGAACAAAGCCCACCAAAGAGGCAAGAGGGCAGACGTGTTGTCCATGTGGGACAAGTGCTAATCCCATGCCCAGCACAAAGCCAGCTCTTCTGTGCATCCTCTGCTAACTGTTTGTGACTCAGGCATCACACACCCCCACATCCAATGTATAAGTGTGAAAGTCGAGATCAGAACAATTCAGTGACTTCCCAAAATCCGCCTGGGATGAACCAGTGACTGGTCTGAATGACTGAAATGAAACAAGAGTTGCAGAGCCCCCACCCCACTCCACTCCATGGAGTCTGATAACCCACGGCCATTTCTTCAGATCCAGCCTGGCTGCTCGCCTCTTGGCTTATATTTTGTTCATGTTTTGTTCTTGTTCATAGTCTGCCAGGTCCCCTCTGCTTTCTGATGCTGCTACCATCAAGCCAGCTTCCAGAGTCT